AACTTTTTCCAGAAGTCAAACACAAAAAACTGATTACATTTGTAGATGTTGATTAATCCGTCCTTCATTATTTCCCTGTACTTAAGCCGTGACATTCACCCTTTAGACCTATTAAAAACTTCAGGAATATGCTTCAAATGTCCTACTCATACTACAGAAGTACATTAATGTGCGTATGTATGATTATCCAGACAGTGCCCTCAGTCAGGGCTGGGCAGTAATGATATGCAGTACTGTGCAAAAGGAAAAGAAAATGATGTTTAGATTATCCTCGTGTTGGTGTAAAACTATGATATTATGCCTGTCAAAGTGTGTCAGCGTAGCCATTTCAGAACCTCTGCTAAAATCACCCCAGTATTTGCAGTGACCGTCCAGTGCAGCCATGTATTTTTTGACTTGGCCACTAGCATACCTCATACAGCTAGTCAATCTGTCACTGACTTTTAAACCAATTTATTTAATTATTTAATTGAGCTGTTGCCGAAATTTAACAAAATCATGGAAAGGCTGAGGTGCCCCTGAGGAGAAGTTTGGAAACTGAAGCGGTGTTCATCTAGCCATCCAACTAGATATCAGTAACTTTTTAGGAAACAAAAGAAATTATTACTAGTTTTTATTGTGTTACTCTTAATTTGCACATGTTGTAATGTTAAATTGTGTTTTTTCTTCTAAGCCAAAGTACACTTGCTACCCAGATAAACAGCTTTAAACATTTCTTTGGACTGCCTAAGACTTTTGCACAGTACTGTACATGTAAAAACATGTAACTGTATTCCATCACGGTTACACATACATTGAGGTTTAATGAGGCTGCATCCACATCGTTACTTTTTTGTTTAGAACCATGTCAGCCTCGGGTCCCTAGTCTGCCCCTGCTTAGGGATATCTGAATATCCATAAAACCATGTGGAAAAAAGACATGTAGATTGATCTGAAATCTGTCTGACAACACGCCTTTCTGCACAGAATGGCATTAGCAGACCACTTTTATCACCCACATGAGACTGAAACGTTTCATGTGGCTGCAGAGTAAACATTCTAACAACATGTTATTCTTGTTTTTAGTTGTGTTATTTTACATAGAGTTTAATGAAAATTATTGATGCACTTTGAATTATTGTGCAGTTTAATATTAATTGTCAGTGTATTAAATGCCTTTGAATTTAAAATAAATTTTAAATGAATTTGATGTAATTTGTTTTTTTTCCCCCTATGTCCATTATATTTCTGAACAAGTTTGGAAAGCAGTCCAAAGTATTTAGAATACATGATCTCGGGTGATTTAACAGAATATATTACAAATTGCATGTTAGAGCATGTATTCAGTATTCTATCCAAGTAACCTACCCAACAGTGCTCACAGTGTGTCTGTATTTATGAATATCCAGACTGGCAGTGTACTCACAATATGTCTGTACTGATGAGTATCCAGACTGGCAGTTTACTCACAATATGTCTGTACTGATGAGTATCCAGACTGGC